AATTTTTATTTGTTTTTATATTTTTCAATGTATTTATTTCGTTTGTAAAACATAAAGAAATCATTTTTAACGATACAATAGCCACGATTATTATTTTAAAAAGTTTACGTTAGGCTTAACATCGACGAAAATTCAACGAGAAGCGACACGCAACGGAGAAAAATTTCAACACGGGTAGGTTAATATATTTGTTTGCACATAATCGGTTATCCAAAAAATAAGTTATCCGAACAACCCCAGTCCCCAATTGATTCGGATAAACGACGCTCTACTGTATTAAAATGACAAGCGTGACAATTGATGTTAAGTCATCACTATAAAGTATTTTATCGTAAAAATACGTAAGGAGGATGAGTCCTCTTTTTCGGAGGACACGTTTGGGACAAATCGCACTTTATTTACAAGACTTTACAGTTCATAAATTGTAAAGTATTGCAGTCTTTTGAACGAAAGTGCGAACTGTAAGGCATGACACTTCACAGACAAGACGACATGAAACCTTTCTGGACGAGGTACGAACTATAAAATAATAATAATACTTATTTTACTAAAACTTATTAATCTTTTCTTAAGCAACTGTAAGTCTGAAAATGTTAGAATTTCTCGGAGTACGAATTAAAATTATACTCCATATATTAAATTAATGAACTTCAAAACGATCTTCATATTAATAAAGCTAAAAATTAATATCGATTTGTGATAAAAAGTATTATTATTTCTAAACTTCATACTGATTTCATTTAAGGAATATTATTGTTATTATGGGATTTACTTATAGTGGAGTGGCAAGATAAGTAGAAGCGCATGTACCTCCCCAGCAATCTCTTTATTGCTTCTTTCTTAGTTATGACTCGTTCACCTGAACTCATATTACTTATTGTCTCTGTAGATATTTCTAACACTATAGTTTATTATCTGTTGTGGTTACTTGTACAAGACGTTACTCTCTGCGAATTAAAAGTAAAGATAATGTCATTTTAGTTAGTATTAAGTCGAGGAAGACTTTCAAAAAGTTCGGGAAGAGGGGGAGGGAAACACGAAATTCTAAAGGAATATTTAGTTAAGTATGCGTAAATTTAATTCTAATTAAAGTATGGAAATCTTTAGGTCTGCAATTTGAAAATTGAAGTCCAATAACTTATGTTGAGAACAAAATCATCTTAATTAAGTTACACGTAATTATTAAACACAATTAACTGCTACTTATAATGATTATACTTAACTATAATTAAAATTATTAAGCTTTAAGGTCAGAAAAAGAAATTTAGAAGTGATTTTTAATGTGTTCAAGCTTAATTGATGTGCACATAATCATGTTAATGATAATCCTGAACATATTTCTTACAGATTTATCAGGATTACAACTGAATTAACTCACTTTAAATGCAATTATCTTTATGTACGCTAGTATCAGTGTTATCTTCGTTATTCAATTCTTATATACTCTCGCCCCTTTCTATCGTCGAAAATTAAAATCTTTACCACTTTATAAAATTAAAATATGTTTAAAACATCGAAAATTCTGTACATAAATCAATTAAGTGTAGTAAAATATTAAAGGTTAATTGTGACGTTGACTCAAGTGTTAGACAAGGCATTAATGGGGTTGAATAATTAAAATCTACCCTACGGTTTATCGATTAAAGTGTTAATAAATAAAATTATTTACGTTTTTTATTTTTAAAAAATTGGTTTTTTTTTTAAATGTATATTTTAAAGGTTAACAGGTGTTTTCACACGGTGGAAGAGTGAAGGGGTGACGACGCTAAAGTGAACTTTGAACTCTTAATTTGATGATTTGTAGTTGTTCCTGTAGGATATTTTCAATGAAGGAGGGTGACGAATTATCTAAAATTTAATATATGCACATATTTATGTAAATATGTATAAAAAAATTATTACAAATTACAATTATTGCCTTAGGTATGTTGTGAATATTTACTCATCGAATTGCTTGTGGGTGTACAGTTATTAGATGTACTATAAATATCTTAGTGTAGTTTGTGCTTCTAAGTTAATATATCAATAATTTTCAATTATTAGTTTTCTTAATGTTACTGTAGTACTGTACAGTACATATTAACGACATTTTCATGAGCTTCCTGTTAAAACACTTGTATAATGACGTTTTCCCTGTTATGATTTTAGGAAAATATAAGTCTAAATTCGCCTTTAAAACAATACGTTTTCCTTTTTCTTCAAATAATTGAGCCTTATAATTGGATAAATAAAGTGACTGAGCGCGAGAATCGCTCGAAAACGAAGCGACGCGATAGAGCGATAATTCATAATCATCACTTTCAAAACGAAAATATATATGAATATATATTGTTATCAAATGTTCGTTTTAACATAATATATATTTTATATTTTGGACGTGAAAAGTTTTACGGAATTGAGTTAAATAAGAGTGTCGCGCGCTAAAATCGCTGGCGACGTAGCGACGCCATTTTGCGATAATTTTAATTGTCGTTTCTAAAGTAAAACTTTAAGGAAATTTAGTACATTTTGTGAGTGATATAATAAGGACATTGCCAAATATTTTCAAAACTTTGAAATTTGGGGCTTTTTAAGATTTATGGGATTGATAGAAGAAGAGTAAGCAACACAAGGGCGATCTGTCAAGGTGGGTGTCTCAGAGAGGACTTTCTATGAAAAAACTGGCCCCATTTAAGTGCTAGACACGTGAAGAAGCTTCGAAAATTCCACGTGGCCAGCCCATTGATCAGGCATAAACCCACGACTATTAGTTTAGTGGCTGTATGAACTTTTCCACCGGTGGGCAAGATTTATAAACTAGAGTAATTTCTGGCTAAGAACAATAAAATTGAGTAAAATTTTATCGATTTTGTCGCCTTTGAATTTGAGGAATGAACATTTCTTCATATACCAAAAAACTAACCATTATTACAATCAATTTAAAAATCTACACACAATTCACAAAAACTAACTTAATGCCTTTATGTCATAAGCGCAATAAGCGTAATTGATATATCGCACGCGAGAATCGCTAGCGACGAAACGACGCGACACTGCGATAATTCTAATAGTCGTTTCCGCGAGGCATTTTGAGAACATTTACTCCAATATTTATTAAATTTAATGGTTTTAAACGTTAAAAATATGAATATTGTTCAATATATTCGAATTTAGAGCAATCGTAGCATATTAATACCGTTAAATTTTAAGGTATATTTATCCAAATTTCTCTGTATATAACGATAAAACTGAGTGAAATTTTAAGAAATTTGATTAGTTTTTAGCATTTTATATATAATTTTTTTACACATTTAAACGATAGAAAACGAAGAGAAGCGATTTGAAGTGTCGCAAACTCTCCATTTTCCATCATAAAATTAACCAACGTTTCAACTAATTTTCCATCTTCAGCTTATAGAAATTAATTTAAATTTAAGTATACCTTGATATATTTATGCTGGAAGCGATTATTATTATCGTAAATTTGATAATAAACGGAAAATTATATGATTTTGATACAGTTAAGTTGTTTATTGAGAAAGGTTTCATTAATATTAACCTATTGGCACTTCGTCAAGGAGACCAAAAAAAAATGGGCTAAAATATAACTTACAAGAGCTTCAAAATCGACTGGGAGATAATTAATTACTTAAAATTCTCGTCTACTAAACAATAATCAATGTATTTACATTATGTAAGCGTTAAAAATTCAATTTTCTTTAAGGTACATTCATAAGTTATTCAAAGATTCCACCCCTTTGGTATTGACAATATTCATAAATATTGGATGACATGTCGTGCTAGAGATTAAACTGTCATTTATATATATATTATTTAAGTAAATAAAATAATTAATTAATTATTTATAACATAAATTTTCAAAAAAAAAAAAATTACTACTTTTGCTACATTTTAATGCATTTTTGGGGAGTTTAAAGTGGGAAATTCACATAGGAAGTGGGCATTACTTAAGTTTAAGTAGATTATCATACAGATTGAGTACATACATCTGTTGAAACACAGCAAGGAGTGACAACCTTCACTAGTATAATGTAAAGTTGAGACAATTAACTAGTTAAAATTATAATTAATTAACATAATTATGGAAAAAGTAGACTCGAAAATTCATTCTTAAACTTCATTTAATTAAATTTCATTACTGATTTTCAAGTCAACTCAATTACACATCACTCTCTACCGAAACATCCCACCTTTATACTTTAAAAAATTACGATTACAGTCATGAAAAATCATTAAAGAGACATAAAATTGTTAATTTAAAGCCTTAAAATACAGAAAAAAAATATATAAATTTAATACTTCGCGAAGATCTTAGATGCTGTCAATTGATATAAATATGAGGAGTATTGCTTGAGGATAAGCTTAACCTTTGCTTACTCCAGCATAAAGATCCACACTTATACTTAAAAAAATGCTTAAATTTAACTTAATATGGCTTAAATATGCTCCTAATTTAAATGTAATGAATTAAATGACAGTTAAGAAATGTGTAAATTATTGTACGGGTGAGAAATTTTGTAAATTTAATTTACAATTTCGTTACGTAATTTATAGGAGAATTTGTATAGAAGTTGCAAGACTTCGCGTAACAACGAAACCACTGAAAGGGACTTTAAATGTGTTCAGGAAACTTCATTGTCCACAGTATTTCTATAATAAAATATTTATGGATAATTAAACTTAATTTATATACTGTTTAAACTAATCTTAAATACCATTATACGCTTCTTCCAAGTAAATATATGGGTAGAAGACCGTACAGAAATGAAGATTTCTTCGTTATTTAACGTACGAAAACTAAATTTGATAAAGAAATTAATTTAAAATTTATTCCTCAATTGATTTCCGTATGATTCGAGTTCGAATTCCACGTGAAAAAAAGCATTATTCTAGTTATAAACGGAGCGCCTCTTAAAACAGGACTCTGAAAATTACATCGTAAGGAGGGTAGTTCGAACTTTAAATCATTAAAAAAAAACTCTTTATAGTATTAAACCCACCTGCAACACCAAATACCGTTGCTATGGCAACTATCCAAATTGCTTGAGAGAGCGCTGTACATGTCGCCATAGTTGAAACCATGTGACAAGTAAAGCACCAACACAGGTCAATGGATGTAGCCCGCTGCAAACTCTGACGTTTAATATATAGAAGGCATCATCCATCGGACTCTATTGGATGATAGCATGTGACGTCACGCTCCAGCTACCATTGGGCAGTGAATATTGTTTACGTGGGTGTGCGTGCGTGTGTATATATGTGTGTGTGTGTGTGTGTGTGGTGTGCTGCAAAGTTTTTGTTTTGAGAAGAATTTCTCTATTTTTTCACACTTTTGGTCCCTCCCCTTAAATTAGTACATAATTAATGATAATTAAATCTCAAAAAACGCCTTAAAAATCGATTCTTTAGTTTAAAAAATGAGCTTTGACACCCCCGAAACGTCACTTTTAATTGAGTTACGAGGCACTTAATTACGTTAAAAAATATTAAACTTTTAATGAGATTTATGCTAAATTTAGGTGTTTTTTTGATTATTTTTATACCGTTTTATTTGCATACAAATAGATATTAATAAATAAAATAAAATTTAATTTTTTATAACCTGGTCTATTTACTTATAGGCAGGTTGCACTGAACTTAAATCATGTATTAACATCCTCATGCTAGACAAATATAAATAAAACAGAAATTAGAATCTAATTTTAGAATAATTTTATGAATAATTTTAAAGGTTTTTCTTACTTTATTATGATTAAAATTTTAAAAAGTATTTACTTATAAAAATACGTAATTTATTTATAAGCAAAATATTTCGATTTAAACAAGTAAAACGGTCGAAATACAATTATATCCATTTTTTTCATTAAATAATAAGAATTTTTAAATCCCTTTAAGTAAATCACACGAGTTAACATGCTTCTTCTAAAACTTATAATAATTTATGAGTTAAATTCGATAGAAATTTCAAAAAGGATCCAACAACGTTACACACTCGCTACGAAATTCGTTATTAAATATTGAAAACTGGCTTAAAAACTTACTTAAAGTTAATTTATGGTGTGGGAAGTTTGTTAGAAAGTAAACTTATAAAAATATACTATTTTTTGGGGGGAATGAAACGATAGTTTTCTTTCATAAAATGGAACAACTTTCGAAGACTTTATGTTATATTTACTTTATAAAATTTTATTTGATATTTTTCAATATAAAAGAAAGAATTTTCAACTATGCCTGTCAACTATTGTTAACGAAAAATTGGACACAAATTCTTCAATGACAGAAATATTTTATAGGGGTTTTTTTTTTTTCCTTCTTTGTCGAATTATACAAAATATTCTAGAACTGCCATACTTCATTTTCATCAATGTTTTTTGGACGTTAAATTTTATATTTTTTTTTTTATAAATTATCTGTATATATGGTACATACATATAGAAGAAGCATCAATATTGTATAGAACTATAACCTTTCTGTGATTTAAATAAAGAAAAAAAGAATACAAAGTTTCAATTGAAACAGAATCCTGACATTCAATCTACCATTCACTATATATTGTTACAGTCTGAAACATTTGATTACAACATGATGTTAGGTAGTAATATATGCAACTATTTTGAACTTTCTAACCATTTTTTTTACAAACAAGAAACCCCTAAAATTACTTCTAAGCCTTAAAATTCAATTCTGTGAAGTTTAATATTTATCAAATAAAGAACTTTTTAAGAAACAGAAGATTTTTTTAATGTTGTTTCATTAATAAAAGCAAGAAGAAAATAAAAATATACTAGTGAATTAAGAAGAAAAAATATATATTTTTTTACAGAAATAAAAATAATAATAATAAATTATAATTAAATATTTCGATTGTGAAATAAATTAATACAGTAAAAACACGTGTAAAAATGTATTCAATTTCACTCATTGTTAAACAGATTAATATAGGAAAACACGTGGAAAGATATGTTAATTTCGCTTGCTAAACAGATTAATATAGGAAAACACGTGGAAAGATATGTTAATTTCGCTTGTTAAACAGATTAATATAGGAAAACACGTGGAAAGATATGTTAATTTCGCTTGTTAAACAGATTAATATAGGAAAACACGTGGAAAGATATGTTAATTTCGCTTGCTAAACAGATTAATATAGGAAAACACGTGGAAAGATATGTTAATTTCT